TTAAAGGAAATCTGCATGGAAGAACTATGAAGGCTGACAATACTGTACTTTCATTCTGAAAATGCTATTGGCCTGGTACTCATGCTGACCTTCTTGGTGTGTACAGCAATATGAAAATGACAACACCTTAACCCCTAAAACCAATTAAAAATCCCATGTAGATCTTCAAGGAGCCCCCGAACCTTAACCCCTAAATCCAATTAAAAATCCCACATAGCTCTTCAAGGAGCCCTCTAAAAATTAAATGCCAATTAAGCAATAAGGTATCAAGGACATCCATAGAATGGCTTCACATATATTGTGGTATGTGGCCACTTTGTTAGGTCTTATTTAACCTTGTATACTAGGTTGATTGCTTCTAGCAGCCCAGATTTTCAAGTTTTGAAGGGATAGCTCTTATACAACCACAAAACTGGTCTTAAACAAGTATGAATCTGAACTACCATGCTGCATGTTTTTTGGTCCAGGAATGTGGATGGGGGTAAGAGGGGGGGGGGGGGGGGGGGTTAGCACCAACTGCTGGTGCTTGGATTAGAAGTCTGGTAATTCATTCAGGCACCGTGGTAAATCATGAAAAGGAAGATTGATAGTTGTGAAAGAAATTACACAATTATATATTTTAAAAATGTGTAAATTCTGGCTGCAACACTGGCCTCTTCTCAACAGCTGCCCCACATGGACCTGCTGCTCTGTTAAATGATGCCCAGCACCATGCAACCCACTTCTGTGAACCCAGACCATTATGGACCCACCCGTTTTGATGTCCTATTTTGATTTAGTTTTAGTCATAGTCTCTTTGACTAAAATGCCATATTAGTTTCAGTCATATTTTAGTCATCTGAATTGTTTTAGTTGTATTTTATTCAACTAAATTCCAGTACAATCTCCAGGCAGCAGGCAAACGGAGGGAGCCTGCGTCTCCCAGCCATTACAGCTTGCCGATAGTCAGGGGGCCGGTGCTTTAACAGACAGGCAGAGCTCTGAAGAAAGCAGAAGTCTGGGTGGGTAAACATCCCTCCCTCACATTTTTGTTGGTGAAAATTGGAATTGATTTTCGTCAATTTACTTAATTCTAATATTTTTGTTTAGTTTTGTCTCGGAAACCCTGCAGATGACAGACTATGACAAAAATATTTTCGTTGACTAAGTTAACACTGCATGAACCCTACCTTTTTGGGGAGGGTCATCATGCCGACCTTGGGCTTACAGCTCTTGTGGACAGAGATGTGCTCAAGCATCCTTACATAGAGTTGTTCTGTCCAGGAGGAAGGGCCCATATAATCATTGGGCCAGCCAGAAGACCTTGGAATTAAGAAATTTATAAACACATTTGAAAAAAAAACAATAGTGGTAACAAAGTTTTATTAAGTTTGTGTTTTTTTTTTTTTTTTTTTTTTTTTTTTAAGATGCATGATGGAGATGAGCTTCAATTTCTTCGAACCTTAAAAACCTCTTGTGCTGCCTAAGGCACATCTGCCATATGCAGACAAAACCAAGCTCTTAATATTTCCCCTGCCTGTGCCCTCCTCATCTTTTCCATCAAGGCCAATAATACAACTATCAGTCTCTCCCCTCATTCTAGGGTTTACGTGTAATCCTCTCCTTTTGGCCCCAAATCCAGTCGCTGTGCAGAACTTGTAGTCGTCACCTCCGTACCATCTATAAAATATTTCCCTTTTTAATCAATGAAACCACCAAGCTACTCATTCAACTTATTTATCTCTTGCTGTTACTATTGCAACTCCCTTCTCATTGGCCTATCTCTACACAGGCTATCCCCCCTTCAGTCTATCATGAATGCTGCTGCTGCCACAATTGTCCACCTTACCAATCCCTCAGTGTCAACTACCCTTCTCTGCCAATCCCTCTATTGGCTTCCAATTGCCAACCAAAATAAATGTCAAATTACTAACAATCATACAAACTCTGTCCTGAGCTACATCACCAACCTTGTCTCAAAATGCCACCCAAACTGTCCCCTTGGCTCCTACTCTCTAGCTGTCTTGGGCCATAGGCCAACTTTGTCTTACACAACATGCAGTACTGTGCAAATTTTAGTGGCGTCTAGTAGAGTTGGGCTTCTGCCTTTGTAATAAATCCATTTTGTTTCTGATGTACTCAGCAGGGTGAGGTGAACGTAGACACTGAAAATAAAATGATGACACATAAAGAGGGCGAAGAAATATCAAAAACTCAAGACTACGTAAGTCAAACTGGGATGCAAGATGGGGAAATGTCTGCAGCAAAGCTTACTGAAAAGAAACTTAAAACTGAAGATCAAGATAAAGAACTAGATGCCAAGCTTGATGATACCTTACGGCACACAGAAAATACTACTGCCTGAAACGTGACTTTTGTTGGTCAGCTCGGCCTGCATCATCATCCCCAGAAATCATTCACTGCTCGAAAAAGATTCCAAAAATAATCCACTGAGTTAATGTAGATAATTTGGATTTAATCATCCTGCTATTGGTCCAATCTATATTTTTAAATTGTTCTGGTAAATTATAATAAACATCAACTTGAAGACCTTTTTGTTGTGCTGTATAGGCAAGCTTTTCATTTTTTTTTTTTTTTTTTTTTTTTTTTTTTTTTTTTTTTTTTTTTTTTACAGCAATCATTTTTGCTATTTTATACAAAAATTCCATGCAACTGCAATTTTGAAGGAGGTACAGTACTGTGCAAATGTTTTAGGCAGGTGATAAGAAATGCTCTAAAGAATGCTTTCAAAAATACATTTTTGTTTTTATCAATATTTTACAAAATGCAAAGTGAGCAGAAGAAAAATCTAAATGGAATCAATTTTTGGTGTGGCCACCCTTTGGCTTCAGACCAGCATTAATTCTTCTGTGCTTGTGCACAAGGTTTTTGAAGGAACGCAGCAGGTAGGTTTTTCCATACGTCTTGGAGAACTAACCACAGATCTGTGGATGTAGGCTGCCTCAAATCCTTCTATGTCTTCATGAAATCCAAGGCAGGCTCCATGATGATGAGATCAGGGCTCTGTGGGGGCCAAACCATTACTTCCAGGACTCCTTGTTCTTTATGCTGAAGATGTTTAGCGCCCTTCTTGTTAGCTAGGATTGAGTTAGCTATTTTTTTTTTTTTTTTTAGATAGGCTGAGTAGCCTGGGTGTCAGCCACGTTATCTTAGGTCAGTGTTGAGGGCTCTGCAGAAGAAAAGTGTCTAGAAGGCAGTGGGTGGGGGTGAGGGGCTGATCTGCATACTTGAGTGCTGTCCTGACCCTCCTCCTGCCTGGGGATTGGTCAGGATCCCTTAAGTATGACCAAGACTGCTCAGCAGAGAGTTCGAGTGGAAGATGGAGTGAGAGGCTGGGATGCATGAGCCTGGGGGTGTGTGGCAAAAGGCCTACCTCCAGGCTGAAGTTGAAAGGAGGATCTTGCAACCTCACAAGTCCCCTGAGAGAGGACCACCTGTGCAGCAGGGAGGGAGCCAGCCCTTTGGAAAGCCTGAAGGCAGCCACTAACCCAACAAGCTCAGAGTATGAGTGAGTAGTCCTACTCATAAGAATGCTTATGTCTATAAAAGCTAGGAAGGATTGCTAAAAGTAGACAAAGCTGAGGTTTTGGGGCAGCAAATCTAGTAAAGGAGGCAAGCATAGCTTACACATAATAAATACCTCCCATAAAGCTTTAGGTTTAAAGTATGTTTAAATCTTAAACTTTTTATTTGCACAGTAGAGGAAATGTTTGTTTTCTATGAGACATAACAGAGTGAGAATTCTAAAAATGAAGGAGAATTTTTTTTTTTTTTTTTTTTTTTCTCTCTCTCTAGGCTAGGATCACACTATTGTGGATGTGGGATTGCATGAGCACCATCACCTGCAGGTGCCCTATACCAAACGTGCTGCAGTTTTCCCACGTACGGAAACACAATTTTCATGGAATGCAGCGTCAAATCTATTTTGTTGCATGCATATGTGTCTTATACAATACGTGTGTCATTAGAAAAGAGTAGGGACTCACTCTCTGCACACAACACACATTGCTTTAAAATGTTACTAAACCCAGGACCCTGCATTCACTATATCTGGTCTTCCACAGTACACGGAAATGCAATTAGTTTAGTAAATATAAACTACTAAATACCTTTTCTCATCAGCAGTATGTAGGAGTCTTGTGACTTCTATCAGTGTCCATCCAGTACAGGTTAAAGCACGTGTAGGAGTTTTCATTTTGCTCTAGGAGGATGCAGATCCCCTGATCTGTCTGGGCATTGCTGATTGGCCCTGTGCTTATCACATGCACCTTCCCAAGAAAAAAAAAACCCTCTAGCAATACACACCAAACTGAGCATGTGTAGAGTCCCCCGATGAAGTAATGTGACATAGGGCATGGGTGGAGCCAGTTTGAGGAAGTGAGAGGATCCATGCTTGTTTTAAAGCGCTTGTCATTTTAATATACATTAAGGTGTGGCCGCAGTCTCTGGCCATCCCCTGCACTATGGCCGCAGTCTCTGGCCATCCCCTGTACTATGGCCCAGTCTGGCCATCCCCTGTACTATGGCCGCAGTCTCTGGCCATCCCCTGCAGTCTCTGCCATCCCCTGTACTATGGCCGCAGTCTCTGGCCATCCCCTGCACTATGGCCGCAGTCCAATGGTTCAGGATATTTTTGGTTCAGGATATTAGTTAAAGCGATAAACGATTCTGCAGTGCTCATGACCCTAAATCTGTATTTCTTTTGACATTCTGCTCAATCTATCCCATCCGTCATTGAAATTAATTGGATATTCCCAATCTGCTGGCTTTTACAATCTTATTTTTACATAGACTCATGAAACAAAAAATTGCCGGAGGCATGTGGATGCCCCTCAATATGACTGATTTCAAGTGTTTTTAGACAATTGTGCACTTTCAACCTTGTGGTAACTTTGGTGTAGATGGGTCAGGCTGTAGGTATGCACAAGTAGGCTTAGATACCTGCATTTTTATTGACAAAGGAAAAACCCAAACAAAAGGGCACAAAGGCCAGGCCTGCTCTAGAGTCCAGTGGCGGCGTCCTTTACACCACTGCATCCGACGCTTTGCATTGCAGTTGGTGATGTAAGGCTTGGATGCAGCTGCTCGGCCATGGAAACCCATTCCATGAAGCTCTCTACACACTGTTGTTGTGCTACTCTGAAGGCCACACCAAGTGTGGAGGTCTTTAGTTATTGACTCCGTAGATAGTTGGTGACTTCTGCGCACTGTGCGCTTCAGCATGCGCTGACGCCGCTCTGTCATGTTACGTGGCCTACCACTTGGTGGCTGAGTTGCTGTTGTTCCCAGTTGCTTTTACTTTGTTATAATCCTACTAACAGTTGACCGTGGAATATTTAGTAGCCAGGAAATGTCACGGATGGACTTATTGCACAGGTGACAACCTATCACGGGACCACGCTTGGAGACACTGAGCTCCTGAGAGCGACCCATTCTTTCACACATTTGTAGAAGCAGTCTTCATGCCTAGAGGCTTGATTGTCTACACCTGTGGCCATGGAGGGGATTGGAACACCTGAATCCAATGATTTGGAGGGCTGGCCCAATATTTTCGGCAATATAGTGTATATTTGCTAATGCACTAGGCTTTTGCACACCTTTTGATTCATCAATAAGATTTGCCTATCTGAAGAGGGCTGCATTGGTGGGACATACCAGCATATGACGAGTAAGAATACTGGAATATCTCTGCAATGCTGGTTCTCACAATACCTTAGTGCTATGGTGCCATGACTATATATACTGTACCTGCACTTTTATACCTGATAGCAGCTTAATTTAGTTTTTCTTTTTAATGACATAGTCACTGCCTGCCTCTCTTTTTTTTTTTTTTTTTTTTTGATAACTTTTATGATTGACTTAAAGGACAGAAAAGGTCACTGCATGGACAGGGGAGATTTTAGACTGCGACAGCCATCCATAATAAAAAAACTAATAAATAATCCTACTTGTGTTTACCTAAGCTGAAATATTGATATTGAGGACCATTCTGAATGCAGATTTCGGCATTAATCATATTTCCACTTGAATATTCAACCGCTAGCAGTTCAGGGCTTGATGGACTAATACATCATTGTTATGTCAACACTTGAATGTTTAGCTATGACGGAAGGCAAATATATGTCTTGGCAATATGCTTATCATTTGTAGATTAAGAATAACAGCAGTTAAATGTCGGCAAGCAGACCGAAAATGCTTTGTGCAAATTAATAACAGCAGCTAAGTAATCAGGGAGAGCTGAGACTGGGCCAAGATGCCCCTTTATAATGTAAATGATATCGCTCTGTATTTGAGCAACTTTTATATTTTCTTATATTGCGTAAGAAGGGGATGCTTAACCACTTGCCCTCCAGAGGATTCACCCCCCCCCCCCCCCCCCCCTTCCTGACCAGACCATTTTTTTTTTTTTTTTTTTTGCATTACGGCGCTGCGTTACTTTAGCTGACAATTACGTGGTCATGCAATGCTTCACCCAAATTAAATTTACATCCTTTTTTTTTTTTTTTTTACGAACAGAGCTTTCTTTTGGTGGTATTTGATTGCCTGTGCATTTTTATTTTTTTTTTGCGCTATAAAAAAAGAAAGTAACAATTTTGAGGAAAAAAAAAATATATATAATATATATTTTGACTTTTTGCTATTAAAAATATCCTGTAAAAAAAAAAAAAAAAAAAAAAAAAAATTAAAAAATCTAATTTCCTTATAAATTTAGGCCAAAATGTATTCTGCTCAGGGGCAGACTGACAACTCATGGGGCCCCCCGGGCAATAGGGGATCATGGGGCCCCTGTGTCCTTGCCAAAACTCAAAAAAAAAAGCCTATGAAAAGGGTACCAGGGGCATCTCATGGGGCCCCCTACTGACCCCGGGCCCTTGGGCAATGCCCGAGTTTCCAAATGGCCAGTCCGCCCCTGATTCTGCTACATGTCTTTGCTAAAAAAAAAAAAAAAAAAAAAAAAAAAAATCCCAATATGTGTAAATGAATTGGTTTACGTGACACTTATAGCGTTTTTATTTAGTTACATTTTTTACTAGTAATGGCAGTGATCAGTGACTTATAGCAGGACTGTGGCGGGCATTCCAACACTGGGGGGAACTGACTTGGTGTCGCTGACATTCCCAGTGACGCCAATACAGTGATCAGAGCTAATAAAAAGCACTGATACTGTACTAATGGCACTGGACAGGAAGGGGTGAACATGTGGGGCGATCAAAGGGTTAACTGTGTGCTGTATTATATTATGTGCTGTGTTTATGCTTCACTGTTAAGCACACTGCTTTGCATGGCTGTGCTGTGTGCAGCCATGCAAAGCAGTGTTCACGAGCTGACAGGGAGGAGAACTGTTTTATTCACTCACAGTTCTTCGGCGCGCCACCATTTCTTACCATGCCTGGAAATGGTGGTGTGTGTGCCCTCTACCTGGAAATGCAAAATTACGTGTATATATATATATATGTGATTTTGCACATAGCTGTTGCCCTGTAGCAGTATTTCTGCAATGGGCCAAAGCTGAAGCAGTTAAAGGGCATCTAAACCCAAAAACAAAAAAGTTATATATTGCAGCTCACCCGTCCTTAGATGTGGAGTCAGTAAGTGGTTACATTCACTCTTTCACTGTATCTGTGGAGGAAGCCATTGTTGACACCCAGGCTGGAGCTTGAATAGGCTTGCTCTTGTTCAGCTCAATGAAATCAGAGATGGTAGGAGATTAGAACACCTGTGTAGTTTTTATTGCTATCTGTGCCCCCATTCAACTTTCTTTATTTGTCTCACTTTACCATTACCACACAATGAAAGTGAAACAAAATCCCAAATCTTGGGTTGTTCCCATAACAGTAATAGAGGGGAAATCTTCCAAAGGGGATACTAGTTCTGGTGACAACCATGGATTTCCTCACTTCCTATTTTGTCTGTGGGACAGGAGGTGAAATGAAAACTCCCCAATGGAAAAAAAATTGTGTTTATAAGCCTCCCTTGCTCAATCCAATTTCCAAAAAAAACCTTTTGACTTTAGTTCTTTAAGGTGAATTTACTGGATTTTTAAGGATCATTAAAGTGGTAGTAAAGCTGTAGATAAGTGCAGTTTGTTTTCTCCATTGCAGGTGGTGCTCTGCCAATTGACACCCAGCCTGAAGAGGAAGGCCAAGGGAAACAACGTTTCTCTGCGGTTTCCTGGGTCAATGGAGAAGCGTCCCCTTTGGCTACGCTGCTTCCAGGTGATCTTTTGTTACCATTTTAAGTAAGTAGGATCTATCCAAGTCCCTGCACCTGGGTTTTGGTGCCCTTGGTGTGTGTGGCTAATGCAGGGTGAGAGACCCCTCTGGTTAGGAAAAGAAACTAGTGGTGGGGAAAGCTTCTTGCTGAGGAGAGACAGGTTAGGGACTCACGTCCTAGATAAGGGCCTCCCCAGGCCGTGCTTTACCCTCTGCAGCAGACACTGTCGGCACCTTTCCTCCTCTACATCTAACTACATTGAACTGTGAGTTGTTTCACTAGCAGTGCTCTCCCACCAGGGTGTCTGTAACGTTGGCATCCTGTTCAATACAAGTTTCAAGTTTAGCTGCATCTTCCTACAAAGTCTAACACTAACAATTCTTAAAAACCTTCTTTCTCCCCTCCCCCTATGGATCCTGCATACCCTGTATAAAAGAGATGTGTACTTACCTTTCTTAAATTTGTTCCAGTCTGGTCAAGTGGTTGAACAGCTCCCCTGTATGAGGAAGCACTTGACAGCTGTGAATTCCTGGAGTCATGACCTCACCTATAGGCTACCATGCACCAGACATTGGTGGGGGTTCCTCATCCCCACTGCAGCAGATAATCACTGACACAGGGGGAGCTGGAGCTGCAGGGATTGCATGACCTGACCAGAGAAGATAAAAAAAGATAGCTAAGGTGCAGATGTACAGTATTTTATACAGGAATTTGTGGGATAGGTAGGAGGAGGTGGGAATATGTAGAGTTAGCCTTTTCTTCCACTTTAAGGCCATAAATAAGGTTGGTATTTTTAAGGTATTCCCTTGTTTTACTGTTCTTGTACACAAAACCTTTTTTCATAAAAATTAATATTCCAATTTTATCAAATATTATGACACTTGCATAAAAAACACCTTCCTTCTTGATGGTATCACTAACCACTAAATAACCATACAGCGTTTACCTATAGGAGCTGTAACGGACCACCTGGCACCCCACCTGGGTGCCTCCGCCAGAGAGCTGACTCTTCTCCACTGGAAAAAGGGTACAGTGAAGGAAATAAGTATTTGCTCCCCTGCTGATTTTTAATGTTTGCCCACTCACAAAGAAATGATCAGTCTAAAAATCGAATGGTAGGTGTATTGTAACACTGAGAGACAGACCTGCATTTCTTGAATTTTTTGTTGCTATTCTAACAAATTATGCACTGATTTGCGTGTTCATGAGGGAAATAAGTATTTGATCCCCTATTAATCAGCAGGATTTCTGGTCTGGCTACCAGGTGTTTATTACAGGTAACAAGCTGAGATTAGAAGCAGTCTCTTAAAGGGAGTGTTGCTAATCTCATTTTGTTACCTGTATAAAAGACACCTGTCCACAGGAGAAATCAAACAATCAGATTCCAAACTCTCCACCATGGCAAAGACCAAAGAGCTGTCCAAGGATGTCAGGGACAAGATTGTAGACCTACACAAGGCTGGACTGGACTACCAAACTATCGCCCAGCAGCTTGGTGAGAAGGTGACAGTTGGTGCAATTGTTCGCAAATGGAAGAAACACAAAACAAAACTGTCAGTCTCCCTAGGTCTGGCACCATACAAGATCTCACCTCGTGGAGTGTCAATGATCATGAGAACAGTGAGGAATCATCCCAGAACTACACATGAGGATCTTGTTAATGATCTCCAGGCAGCTGGGACCACAGTCAGCAAGAAAACAATTGGTAACACACTACACTGACAAGGATTGAAATCCTGCAGTGCCTGCAAGGTCCCTCTGCTCAAGAAAGCATACGTCCAGGCCCATCTGAAGTTTGCCACTGAACATCTGAATGACACAGAGGAGGACTGGTTGAAAGTGTTGTGGTCAGATGAGACCAAAATCAAGCTCTTTGGCATCAAATCAACTTGCTATATTTGGAGGAGGAGGAATGCTGCCTATGACCCCAAGAACACCATCCCAACTGTCAAACATGGTGCTGGAACCGTTCTGCTTTGGGAGTGATTTTCTACTAAGGGAACAGGACAACTGCACCGCATCAAAGGGACGATGGACGGGGCAATGTACCATCAAATCTTGAGGGAGAACCTTCTTCACTCAGCCAGGGCATTGAAAATGGGTCGTGGATGGGTGTTCCATCCCAAATGGCCCAAAACACACAGCCAAGGCAACAA